CACAGATCACCTTCACTTACACACAAGAGGCCTGAAGCCGAGAGCAGATGCCTGCTTGGAGGTGACTTGCTCAGCACAGGTTCCCCTAAACCTTCTTGTTTTACTGCCTTCCGCAGCTGCTGGACCAGAGGGTAAGCATCTGGGGCTGTTCTGGGAGGGCAGGCCCTGGGGATTCCCCACCTCCCAGAAGCTAGGGGACCTTGATGGAGATGAGAACTAGGGTTCCATTAATAGTTCCACTCACTTCACCCTGGTCTGCTTTGGAGCCTGCCAGAAAACGTGGCCACTGCAAGTTGGACCACTCAGCACCAAAGAGAACCCCACATGGCTGACAGCCCCAGGAAGCACAGGCCACCTTGGTTTTAGGATCAAGCCAGGAACCCTCTCACAATAGTACAAGCTTCTATTTAAAAATACTGGACTGAACGGAAGTAAGGTTACTGCCTGGGGGCAGATCTCTTTCCGTTGAAAGCGGAAATCCAGGCTTTAAGGCTTTAAAAATCAACAAAACTGGAGAGGGATTCAAAGAAGGCCCTGGCTCTGGCGGGGTGGAAGGCTGACAGTCAGGTCCTACCTCAGCCCAGGGCAGAATGTGGCACTCAAAGGACTTGGGTTCCCCATGGCCACCTATGCCTGAAGGCACCTGGGGTCCCCACTTGGAGGTCAGCAGCCTGCCAAAGTGTGGAGCTCTTGTGGGGTCCCAGAGGACTCAGACTTGGCTCTTTTCCAGTGACGGGGACAAAGGAGACCTGTATTAACTTCTCGCAATTTTAACTGAGATATAACCGAGTATTGGTTTAGATTATCAGTGTCAGTTCTACAACATAATGATTCAACATCTATGTTATCGCAAAGGGATCACCACAGTAAGTTTACTGGACAGCCATTACTGTGTTACAAATTCTTCCTTCCTGTAATGAGCTCTTTTAACATCTACACTCTCAGCTACTTTCTACTCTCAGCTACTTTCTGGTCTGCAACACAATATATTAACCAGTCACCAGACTCTAGATTAAGATTCCCAGGATTTAGTGATTTTCTAGCTGGGAGTTGGTGCCTGGGGAGCACAGCCCCCCTCATCCATTTGCCCACCCCCATCCTGCTTCACAGCCTCTGGCAACCACCCACCTGCTGTATTTCATTTCATTGCAATAATCAGCATCTCAAATACACATACCCTCTGACCTAGTAATTTCCTCTGGGAGTCTAAAAAATAATATAAAATACAAAAAGAATCTCACCTCACCAATGTACAGTCTGTTTTGCTCTAATCCATGCTTTGAAAACGCCAGTTTTATCCCAACACCACTAAAGTATGAGGACACAATGTTACCAAAATGCTTAATTCACAGCTGCTTATACAGCAACACTGGCTGAAGAGCTGGAGAGGCCCCCAGACCACACAGGCAACATCTGGCAGCTACCTCTGAGACAGGCCTGTCCACACCAGGGCCAGCAAGGGGTTTCCAATTCTGCATCTGATCTCAGATCTACAGCCCTCCCTTACCTTCACAGACTGCAATCCCGGTTGCCCATCACCACAGTCCCTGGGGGGCTTGCCCAAGGGAAGTGCAGTTATTTTGTATGATATCTCTGTATTTCTTATCCTGGAAACTTGTATAAAATTGTGTGACTGAGGGCCCTCCCCAGTGGTGCAACAGGTTAAAGCACAGCACTATGAAGCTACTGCAGACACATGAGTTTGATTCCCAGCCTGGGAGGTGACCTACATGGCACAGCAGACCTCTTCTGACCCACCTACTGCTCCCCTCAGCAGTGTATTTCAGTCAGTCGGCCTACTGTGCTTCCCACTCTGTCTCTGGTGATTCCTCTCACCACCCCCCAACCCCATACCTCTGGTCTGGACTCCAATTTTTGTATACATATATAAACAAATTTAAAAAAAATGTCTATAGCACCTGATGGGATCTAGGTGATAGGTTCTCTTTATTTTTTTCTATATACTGTATTTTGTACACTTCCAATTTTGCAAAATCATAAACCTTTTAAAAATTCCAGATAGCAAAAGATCAAAACCAAAGCAATGTTCAAGCAGGAAAATCACGCATGCTGCTAACCCAGCTTTCTTCATGACCACATCCTCTGTGCTGTGCTAAGCACGTGACCACCTGCTTCACCCACTGCCATGACAGTAACAGCACCCTGCACCAGCCTATCACCACACTTCCTCTCTTCTCTACCCTGTCTTCAGACTAAGGATTACTTTTCATGGTAACCATTTTGAAAGCCTTTAGGTTAGGGGCTTTCCACTGTAACTAATAATGAGCTAGAAATGGTTTTCTTTTGCAATTACCTAAGGATTAAGTAAGAATGAGCTTGACTTTGCACAAAATCACTTCTACTTTTTCTTCTGTAGTTAACTGCTGGCTTGTCTGTTAATGCTGACATTTTGAGCCTCTACAAGACTAAGATCAGGAAATCTAAAATCAGAGTCCTCTTCAGAAATGTCACCCACAAACTAGGATTTCTATGGTTTTGTGCATCAAGGGAAGTACTCAGGCAGGAAAGCAGCCAGGAGAAAAACTTCTCCAGCTACAGGACATCTAGAGATGATGGCAGCCATTACTTCCCCCACTCAAAGCAGCTGGGGCCCTAGGCATCATGTCAAACGGAAGTTCTAGCTCCACCACAAAACCCAGATGAAACCTGTCCCTGTATTGTAAAGGACACCCCCAGGAATAATGAAGTAGAAGGAATTAGGTCTCTGCACCACCATCAGTAAAGCAATACCTGCTTCACCTTCCTCTCTAAGGTGCTGAGGAAGCAGCATTTCTGCAGGGGATGAGGCCTGAGTGACAGGATCTCTGGTTCAGGCTGGGACTTCCGGAGCTGGTAACTAAGGAAGCACAGAGCAGAGGGTTCCAGGCCCTTCCTGTCCCTGGGCCCCAGAAGCCCCACACATAACAGTAGGTTGTGCTAGATCAGAGTATCACCAGTTATGGCATGGCAGGTACCAGAACAAATCCATCACCACACAGATCTCCTAGATTAACTATCCCTTGTCTTAATAATGAGAAGATCATGGGTTTGAAGTGGGGGGTGGGGGCTGGAATGCAGCCAGCTCAGTTTTGAAAATGAGCAATCACCAGCCCCACTTTAAAAAGGGTCCCTTGTTTTGGAGACCCACAAAATAACTTTTGAGTCAGATTAACTCCCTTTGTATGAAACTTCCATAGGGCAAGGGGAGTTTCACAGGCTAGCCCAGGCAGAAGTGACAACCAAAACTGACAAGAGGAAATCTCACCATCCTAAAAACACAGCTCTGCATATAGGTTTGAAAAAAATGAACTTTATGAATACAATGGGAGAGACCAGAATGTAACTGAACGTCAATTTCTAATAGAGAGAAAAAGAAAAATCAGTGAGCACCAACAGCATACATGAGAAAGACCAACCAAACCGGGCAAAGAAAGCAGAGGATGTGGTGAGCTGACCATTGGTCCAGCTGTCCTTGTGGGCAGAGCAGGCTCTGTTCTGGGAAGGCAAGGACACTGGCAGTGTCCAGGCAGAGGCCGCAAGGCTGAGGATGGCTTCCTTCTTCCACTAGGAGGAAGATGGAGCTTGGAAGTGGTGGAGAATGCCCAGCTCTCCACATACATGTGCAGAACCCAACGAAATCAGCAAAGGGCACAAATCAAGGCAGTCTGAGAGCCACAGGTGTCACTGACACAATCCTACCTCTCTGGCCACAGAACCTTTGCTCTGGTGGTGCTGCACCCCGTAACAGGAAGTGCTGGTTCGGAGGGGAGGCTAGTTACAAAAAGACCCCCAGATGGGGCAGGTTAGCCTGCAAATTGCCCTTAGATTTCGCAATCACCTGGGGATTTGTTAAAAAGCAGACTACCTGCAGAGCTGGGCTGGGGCCAGAAAATCTGCACTTCTAATGAGCTCCCTGAGGATGGTAACGCTGTCCATCCCGAAGCCACACTTTGGTCAAGTGGGTTCTTGTCCACTTTCAAAATAAAGAGAGCAGGTTCTGACCAGGTGGGCTTGGGACGTTCTCTGTGGTCCATAGCTCCTAAGAGGGGTTTTTGGGGGAACAGTGGTCTGCAAGCTTCGGGTGTCATAAGGTGGGTGATAGCTGACTTGGGAAAGAGGTGCCCAAGGAAGTTAACTAGCAGTTACTGTCTCAATAAGCGTTTTTCCCTCTGAGAAAGGAGATCCCACAGGCCTGGGTTTCCAGCACAACTCAGCAACTTGATTAATTCAGAGGCGAAAGACCCAGACAGGGACACCACGCAAACGTGTCAGGAATTAATCATTTGTGCCCCACCCACCCTCCACTAAAGCTCTCAGGCTCTTTATTCCTTTAGGGGAAGGTTCCTACACGGAGTCCCAGCTGTGACTCACTCACTCAATCAAATCTGATCCCTGCAGCGCAGTGTTCGAGAGGCTCTGGCTTTCCCCTCTGCCCAGCCCGAGCCCACCTTTACAGGCTTAACACCCCACCCCACCTCCACACCCCCACCGTCTTTCAGGCTTTAATTAGCCCGCCTTCAGGTGTGCCAGCTTCGCCGGCCCTTCCTCGCCGCCCGATCCCAGTCCTTCCAAGCAGCCGTTGCTCTATGCCCATGGCCCCGGCATTCTCGCCTCTTCAGAAGTATGCTTAGTGTCACAGTGTCGCGGTGGCTGCCTCGAGTGGCCCTCTCGTAAGTTGAGGTCCCACGAGTGCTCCATTGTCTCCCCCGCGGCGCCGAGCGCCGTGCCGGGCGCACAGGAAGTGCTGAGAAACTGGGCTAGGAGGGCAGCGGCCGCGCACAGAAAGGGCGCCCAGCGCGCTGAGGCTCTGCCGGGCAAAGTGAGGGTGCCCCCAGAGAACAAGGCTCACAGGGACGAATCCTTGGGACCCCTCGTTAAGGGCGGGGCAGTCCCTCTGCTCTCCGCCGAGTTTTAGGGGTGGCTGACCCGAACCGGGGCCCCTCCCTTCCTTCCGGGCAGCTCCACGCGCGCCCCGGGCCACCTACCCGCAGCGCCCTTACCTTGTAAACCTTGCCAAAGGCACCGTCACCCAGTTCGCCCACGATCTCCCACACCTCGTTGGGATCCACGTCCCGGCGGACGTGCTCATATTCGCGGGACTTTCTCTTCTCGAAGGTAGACAGGCGCAGGATGCGGCGGAAATTGGCGAAAGCCATAGCTGGGGGCGCGCGAGCCCGGAGCGAGTGGCTCCGGCTCGGGCACCGGCTCGGGCACCGGGCTGTGACTCCCGCGGCTGCAAGGAGGAGGGGCCGGAGGACGCCGGGGCTCCTGGGGGTTCTCCCCAGACCCGCCCTTCCTCGCCGCGCTACCCTGATCAAGTGCGCTCTGGGCTGCGCGCTGCGGGAGCACCCGGAACCGCGCAAGCGGCTGCGCTCCCCGCCCACGCTCCGTCCGGTCCTGGGGGTTGTTCCCGAGTGCCCGTCGTGCTCACGGCCGCCGCGTGCCTAGTGCAGCCCGCGACCCCTGGAGGCTCACTGAAGACCTTGCCCGGTGCCCGCCCACCGGCCCGGCTCCACCTGCCACTCCCCAGCAGCGCCCTGAGACCCCCTAATTGGCTGCGCGCGCTCCCGGCTCCGCCTGTCGCCGCAGGGCACTCTGGAAACTGTAGTCCCCCAAGTACCCCTGCTCCCACTGCCGCGGGTTGGGTCTCGGAGAGCTTGGGGGACCGCAGGGCGAGACCGTTCGGTGTCCGGGAGGCCAGCCGCGCGGCGTGGCTCCCCAAATTTTGTGGGAACGAAAGGGGAAGTGAATTGACTTCGCAGTCCGGGTTCATTGTTGCGAGTCAAGAAGATGAACCCACGTGAATCACTTAATCCTCTCCGCAGCTTCTCCGCCTGGAGGGCTGCGGTGCTTGCGCCCGCTTTGCGGGTGGGGAAGTTCATCTGAGCTAGGGCCTTAGCCCGAGGCGACATATCCTGTAGGAGAATCCGGGTTGCTTCCTCGACGTGGTGCTGCCTCCTAGTGTACGAAATGCTGCACCCTGGCTGAGGGGCTCAGTGCTTGGAGGTTCGATTCCCAAGCTTGTCTTGGGTTACCCAGAGGCTCACTGGTCCACCTTCATCCACCAACCCGGCAGGATTAGAGGACTGGGAGACAGAGTGCCTTTGAGACTTACTGATCACATGCTTCGTGATGGAGCTTCAGACATATTTGCATTTATATACTTTCAAATCTTTTCACCCTTAATTTCCAGGTTTTAGAAAATGAGCGCATTACGGGTGAAACAAGTCTGACCACCATCGCCCTGGATCCTGGCTGTTCCGGAATCATAGCCACTGTGCCCTGCCTGGGTGTTGGTGCGACATTCTTACCAAAAACTGCTAGGCGGTGCAGCATTACTTGCAGTAGTTAGGACATGGAACCTAAGTGCCCATTGGATTGAGAAGACGTGACATAACCACACAGTGAACATTATTCACCCAGATGGAAGGAGAAAGGATGCCATTTACACCAAAATGGAAGGCGTTTGAGGGAATTCTGTCTGTGCAGTAAATAAAATCTGAATGATAGACAAATATTGGGCATTTACAAAGTGTACAATTGCACAATAATACTAATAAACACTAATAAAAATACTAATTAAAAACTAGCGAACACTGATAAAAGTGAGACTTCTGAAGTTATGAGGGGAGAAAGGATTAAAAAAGAAAAACTTGTCAAAAGCTAAGAATATGCATTTCCTAGGCGACGCGGCACAAAGAGCAATAAACACTTTCCGTTTCTGCTCAAAAAGCAAACAAAACCATTATGTGGGTTCCAAGAGTCTCAAAAGTTATATACCTTAACTACAGCTCCCTCAGAACCAATCCAATCATATGACACCCTAGTAGCCCTCACCCCTCGCCAAACCACAAACATTGAGGTGTTTGTGCCTCCTCTGGGGCTCCATTCTTATTGAGAAGAACCCCTTGACAGGTTTGCAGGCAGCCCGCCGGGCGGCAGCAGCTGCGGTGGTGGACTGCGACAGCATCCGGACTCTAGGTTACTGTGCTGTTTGAAAGGTTCCCCATAACATAATGAGTGGTTTGAACTGTATAGGGTGTTTATCTTTAATTGTGGAAGAAAACGCAGTGCTAGAATGTGTTCTCTTAAAGCCCTACAATGCGCTTTCCAGATCTAGCCTTTGCTCTCTGTCTGTCTGTTAAACCCACCCACTGAGTTTTAACTTCAATTTTTTTTTTCATTCTTAGAAATGAAATTTTAGGGGTCTCCTTGGTGGTGGGGCGCAACGGGTTAAAGCAGGGCGCTACGAAGTTAGCTGCAGCCACTTCAGCTCGAGTTCCATCCCCATTCAGGGAGGTGACCCCATGGCACAGCAGACCTCTCCTGTCTTACCTGCTGCTCCCCTCAGCAGTGTACTTCATATGAACTGCCTGCCTGTTCTGCTTCCCACTGTCTGGTGAATCCTCTCGCTGCCCTTGCACCTCTGGCCTGTACCATAGTTCGATATGCATAAGTAAACAAATCTTTTAAAAATAAATGAAATTTTGGTCACTTTTCATATTAGTTCAGCTTCCATACATCACTGTTTCTGCCATCATTTTAAAGTGTGTCTTTCTGAAACAGGAGAAGGGGAGGTTCCAGGTTCCCTGCCCCACCCAGAAGCAGGGTGGAGCTGAGAAGAGACTGTGGAGAACTAAGCAGGATAGAGAGCCAGGAGACCTGAGGAAGCCACAGAGCAAAGAGAGACCTGAAGAAACCTTTATTTCTTGGCCCTAGACTGGTTGAAAAAGATGTGCGTAAGAGACCTGTGTGAAGGTTGACTATGGCAGTGTTTATATTGATTTTGATTTTGTACTTTTCCTCCCAGATTTGTCTGGCCCTGTCTGACCCTTTCCTATGGGTCTCTGCCAGAAGGTGCTTTAGTCTTGTGGCGGGCTTTCAGGCCTTGCTTTCGACCAATCCCTTTTGGGTTGGCTTTTGCCCACGAGGGGATGGGTTACTTCAGGTGTTTGATTTAGAAATTATATTGTCTTCTGTGTTTTATTGTCATCTGTGTTGTACACTCACTGTATTAAAATTCCTTTTCACTAAAGTCTTATATGTTTTGTCTTGATGCAGCAGATGGCAGAACCTATTTAGAGCAGGCAGGTTTGGGGGTTCAGTGGTGCCCCTCTCCCTGCTCTTAACAGTTCTGCTACCTTTAAAAAATTGTACAATTACAGCATAAACTATATCTGGTAATTCTAATAGCTTAAGTATTTGCAGTCTGGTTCTGCTGTTTCTGCTGCTTCTTACTCATGGTGTAGTTTTCCCATGTGTCTAGTTTCCTTGGAAAATTCTTTCTTGAAAAAATTCTTCATTGAGCCCTAGAGTATCTTCTTGAAACATAATTGCTTTCCTAGGTGCCTGCAGTATGATCAGTGAACTCTTAATTTTTCATTTTGGGGGACCATAATCATACTGTGAATGTGGGTTGCAGACAGGAAGCAGGGTCCCTCTGGTTAGAAGTGCTCACTCCATAGCCATACCCTTAAGTCTCCTGGAGTACAGAGCGGAGGGTATGTTTTAGGGTGACCTTTATACTGAATGCAGAGCACTTTGATATCCCAGCTTTTTTTTTTTTTTTGAAGATTTATTTATTCATACAGAATTGGGGTACAGGCCAGAGATGCGGAGGGTGAGAGGATTCACCAGAGACAGAGTGGGGAGCAGAACAGGCAGATCGTTGAAGTACACTGCTGAGGGGAGCAGCGGGCGGGTCAGGAGAGGTCTGCCACGCCATGTGGTCACCTCCGGGGCAGGCGGCAATCGAACTCATGCGGAAGTGGCTTTAGCTTCCTAGTGCTGTGCTTTAACCCGCTGCGCCACCAGGTGGGCCATCCCAGCTTTTTTTAAAGATTCATTTATTTATGCACACAAGAACTGCAGTGTAGGAGTGTAGGCCTGAAGGCCAGAGGTACAGGGCAGGGGATGTGGTAAGCGTATTCACCAGAGGCAGTATGGAGAGCAGAACAAAAAGATAAACTGAAATACACAGCTGAGAGGAGCAGCTGGTGAGACGAGAGGTCAGCTGTGCTATGCGGTCACCTCCCAGGCTGGCCAGGCACTGAAGTCTGCCGCAGTGGCTGCCCAACAGCTTGAAAGCACTGTCTTCACCCACTGCGCAACCAGGGAGGCCCTGCTTTCACTTTAAAAAAAATAAAAAATTTATTGGCCCTCCCTGGTAGCACAGCGGGGTAGAGCACAGCACTAAACTAACGCTACCTCCTCATAAGCTACCTCCTCATAAGTTTGATCCCTGCCAGCCCCGGAGGTGATCCACATGGTGGGGCAGACCTCTCCTGACCCGACCACTGCTCCCCGCTCTGTATCTGATGAATCCTCTCACTGCCCGTGCACCTCTAGCCTGTACCCCAGTTCTGTATGAATAAATAAATCTTTAAAAAAAGTATTTATGTAAACAAGAGCTCAGGTGTAGGCCAGAGGTGTTTTAAATGGTAAGTGTTCAACATGTTAAGACTCCCTACTTTTTTTTTTTAATATTTATTTATTTATTCGTACAGAACTGGGGTACAGGCCAGAGATGCGGAGGGTGAGAGGATTCACCAGAGACAGAGCAGAAAGCAGAACAGGCAGATCTAGGAAGTACACTGCTGAGGGGAGCAGCGGGCGGGTCAGGAGAGGTCTGCCACGCCATGTGGTCACCTCCGGGGCAGGCGGCAATCGAACTCATGCGGAAGTGGCTTTAGCTTCTTAGTGCAGTGCTTTAACCTGCTGCGCCACCAGGGAGGGCCGAGAGACTCCCTGCTTTTACTGGGCCATTGGCTTTATTTTTGTGCTAACCACCTTCCATCCCTTTATGCAATGAAAACCAAAATTACCTCTCTGCGGATTCCTGCCTGTTTCCTCCTTCAGCTCTTTGGTATTGCCAATGATTTTGACTATAGAATCATTAGTTGTTAGAGAGGAAGTTTACCCACATAACCTAGCCCGTCACATTATAAAATCATTTAATTCTTTGAAATAGCTTCTGTAACTTAGAATTTATTCAGTCAGTCCTTACAGATTTAGAAAAAAATTCACATAAAACCATTTTTTTTTAAAAAAGATTTATGTATACAAAACTGGGGTATAGGCCAGAGGTGCAGAGGTGGTGAGAGGATTCATCAGAGACAGAGTGGGGAGCAGAACAGGCAGATCAACAAAATACACTGCTGAGGGGAGCAGCGGGCGGGTCAGGACAGGACTGCTGTGTCATGTGGGTCACCTCCCTGGCCAGGGATCCAACTCAGGCCATCACAGTGAACTGTCATGGTGGCAGCACTGAGACTTAACCCATAAGCCACCAACCTAACATACCTTTTTTCTTTTTAATAACCAAAGGGGTGGGTTTATTATAAAAGGGTGGGTTTATTATAAAAGGGTAGGTTTATTATAAAAAGGGAGAGAAGAGTGAAGGACACTTGCACAGACAGGAGCAGGCAGAAGGGATAGGATTGCTGACAGAGAGGTATGCACAGTCCCAGGCAGGCAGCTCTGGCAGAGAGCTGCTGTTAAAACTTCATAATGCAATGTCACTTCAATTTTAAAAACATTTAAAAACCACTTTAAAATACATTCAGATATTTACTGATGAGAAACTGTATCTAGTATTTGTTCCCGAATAATCCAGTGACAGTAGGGGTGAAATAAGATTGGCCCTGCTTGGTCACTACTGAAGCTGAGTGATACGTTTATTGTACTAATGTCTCTATTTGGGGATCTATTTGGAATCTTTCATTATAAAGAACATAAGTCCTGATATACTAATCACTTACTACTTTGTTTTCTTATCATTGACTTGTGGTTTGGTCTTTATAAACAATGTCCTTTTCTCTGGTTTTAATACTGTACTTGTTCTATGTTCTTTTAGTACTTTTTCATAGTTTTATTAGATTTTCCTTATTTTCTAATAAAGGCATTTAGGTTACCCTCCCCTAGAACCACCCTGGCCATGCTGCTCAGTTTTCAAGTATGGACATCCTTCTGTTCATTTCTAGATGGTCTGTGATTTTAGTTTAGACCTGGTTATATTTCAGTGACAGGAATAATCAAGTTATTAAGAGGTTTAGGACAATTATCTGTAGCAAAGCTGGAAAACGGGGAGGAAGTAATTCTAATTTTTATTGACTGTTTCCCATGATGCTTTTCCCTAGGAAAACCATTAGCTCTGCCAAGGCTTCTCTCTAGCCAACATTCTAGATTCAAGGCAGTGTTCTCTATTCTACTAGAGGTTGCCAGAGCCTTTGATTTGAGGCACACCAGAATGAAACTGAAGCATGGGTCATTTCTGTGGTACCTCTATCTGGATAAACTCTACTGCTTGCTGTCTGTGAGAAATGTGAGGGCCTTGATGGAATATTTTCACCTTCTTGACGTGCACCGTAACAACACCTTGAATGGTCAGTACTTTCAAAAAGATTATTACCTAGTTGTTAACTAATATTCAGGGGATTTGCAGAATCAAATTATTTCATTCAAAAATGTTCACCTTCTATATGAAGTACAGAGAATTGAGACAGATGAGGCTAGAACTGTAGGGTAAGGCTGGATCCTGAATCTACTCATTTTTCTCGATGATTTGGAGACCATTCTCTTAAAATCTCATTTTCATCTGTAAATGAGGTCTCCAATAATGGAATCCTTCTCATAGTTGAGAAGAAAGGTAACTGAAATGAGATGATGTAGGGGAAATGCTTAACACTGTGTCTTGAACATTGGAGGATTTAATAAAAGTGTTTGTTAGTATAATTATTCCTGGGGATACACCACACTCACACTTAAAACCCAGTCATCAAGACTTTTAATCTGCTACATGGGAGGTTTGAATCAAGTGATGTACAAGATTTCATATAATTCTTGGTACTTGAGACCAAAATGTGGTCTAGACCCTGCCTTTGAGCACACAAAGTAGTAAAAGATCGATCGATCAATACTTACATTTTTAAGGATGGGGTAGACACAGAGTATCATTCATTGTGACCCGAAATGTCATTTGTGAATAAAAGGCTTCTTCCATGGATTTTTCAAGAGTGCATTCACTCTTTAAAAGGACACCTTCATTTTTCATAATTTCATGCCTCAGTTCTTCTCTTCATGTTAGTTTACCAAGGATGCTACTAAAGGTTGGCTGTAATCTAGCGCTGGAGAGGACAAATGCAGGTGCCCAGAGAGTGAGGAGGAAAACTAGGACTGGGCACAAGGCTTTCTGACTTCAAAGCCCACCTCAGTCTCACTGGGCACATTAACTGAGGAGTATGATGTCCCCAGGAATGATATCACTCCTCCAGTGATTAATACCCAAGGGTTTCATCAAACTCATTTCTTCTGTTGACCAAGGGACTGGAGCAAAGGCACCACAGTTTTGCCTTCTGAGGAGGTAGGCACTTCAAGCCATGAAAACTTGGGAGGGCCTAAACCAGCCAGCTTAAACACAGTATGAAGTAGCTACTAATCCCGCATTTAGACACTCCCCAAGAAGCAACTACATATCACTGTGTGAGATACAATGTGGTTCACATCTGCTGTGGGGGAAAGAATATGAGAGGCCATCAGAATCCCATGCCCCCGACACCCCCCAATTTCCCTATCATCACACTGTGGTATCTGGTTCACCGTGAACTCAGCTGGCTTCAGCTGGAACCCCAACCACAGAATACATTTGACATATTCAGCAAAGCCACAGCTTAGCATCAATTGATGCTTGCCATCAATTGGTACAGGGACATCCTATGCAGAAAAGCCACACCTGAAAGTCCCTTACAGCCAGTACAGCCACACAGCCCTGCATAAATCTATCACCATCTTCCTTTCTCTCACCTTATATTTCCTGATACCTAAACTGAGAAAACCATTCCTTGTTTTCTAAATTAGTCTTTATTTCTGATTGTGTATGACTGAATACTTAACAAATATGCAAAGAGATGGCTTCCCTGTGGAAAGTACAAGGTTGTGGAGTCCAACCACCTTTGGATTCCAGCTCTGCCACTTACCCCACAGCAGCAGCACACTGCTAGGAGTTTGTTAGAAATACAGGCTCATTAAAAAAAAAAAAAAAGGGGAGGGGGGAGGAGAGGCCTCCCTGGTGGCCCAGTGGTTAAGTTTCAGCTGTCAAGCTATCACCAGCCACTGCAATATGAGTTCGATCCCTGGCCAGAGCTGACCCAGATGGACTGCAGACCCGTTCTGTCTGGCCCGCTGCTCCCCTCAGCAGTGTATTTCAGCAGGTCCTCCTGTTTTATTCCCCATTGTCCTTGGTGAATTCCCTCACCCCCTGCATCCCTGGTGTCTACATCTCAGTTCCAAGCAAAATTAAATTTAAAGAAAGAAATGCAGGCTCAATCCCACATCAGAAGCTGTATTTTTACAAGATCTTAAGATTGGTGTGCTCTCTGCAGTTGGAGAAGCACTGACACAAAGCAGTGAAGCTGAGGCTTATTACAAGAGTGTGATATCACTGTCCTGGAGGGTCGTCAAGGTTCAGTGAGATGGACATGGCCAGCACTGAGCACCTCCTTTGTTCGAAGATTGCTCCCTCCCCACACCACCACACACATGATGGATACAGCTAAATGGTTTTTAAATGTTTTTAATTATCTCAAGAGAAAGGAGGTACTCCTAGAAGTATCGCCAGTCCCATGGAGTGTGGAGCTCTTCTCTGTACCAGTTCCATAGACAGGTTTGTCACGGTCCTTCCCTGACTGTCGATACAGCTTTCTGTCCTGGTGAGCATGGGAGCTGGAGAGGAACCAATTCCTCTGGACATCTCTCTTCATGCTCCGTGGCACAGAGCTTCCCCACACAGCTAAAGGATACTTACAGTCTGAAGAACCGTGGAAGGTAGAATAGCAAAGTCAGAAAAAATTACTGTCATCGCTATCCCCAGGTCAAGAAGCTTCCCACACCATTCCCACTGATGTGGTTCTTTGTTGTTCAGCATTCTGAACGCCCTAGTCACCCATCTCCTTGTGTCCCCACCTCACCAGATGTGCTGTTCTACCACCTTCTCCATCATGTGACGGACTTGAAACGGACACAGATCATGACTATCTTCAACATGCTAGATTGGAATGCTATCGGTGAGATTGGTTTTGACCAGTTCTACATGCTGGTTTGCATCCTGCTGGCACAGGAGGTGGGTAACAAACCAGGATCTGAGGAAAGGGAGGCAGGTTGGGCTGTTGTCATCACCTGGCTAAAGGTAGCACTAAACTAAAAGTGCATCAGAATTTTTCCCCTTTCACTCAAACTAGGAAGGAAACAACACATGTGCTCTCTAAATGGTCCATCCATAATCTAGGCATTCCCAAGCCGCTCTCCCCATTGCACCTCACTTATCGTTAGCCTTCCACCATTATCTCTTTCTAAAGAGCCCATCTCACCCTCCGACACCCACGGCATGCCCTCCCTCTCCTCCCAAGGGCTTTGCTCTCTTAGGAATCCTTTCCTCAGAGTATACCAAGGGAACAGAGAAACTCTTCTTTGCTCCCACCTCCCCACCTTATTTTACCTGTATACATGTTTCCTACTTCTTGAGGGTTGGCATCATCATTTTATCACCATGTAGTCATGTTTCACACCAGATTTTCACTGAGCTCAGGAACATGCCTTCTTGTGACTGGAGTTGTGTCAAGCAGAACTGAACTATGGGTAACCTTAAGTGCCCTGTGAACACAGGGGCAAAAAAGGACTTGATACAGTGATCCTCAAACCCCTGCAACCCTGAGCTGCCTGTTGCCTTTTAGTGATCTAGAAAATGGACAGGTGAATAGCTGAATCTTAATGGAGCAAGTTGAGAAGGCAGCCCTGAAAACACTACTTTTCTGCCGTCTTTCTCTCCAAACAGAACCACCTAGAGGAACAGTTCATCTTCCGCCATTCCCGCCCTGTGTTTGAGCTGCTGGACCTAGATGGGGACCGGAGAGTTGGTGTCAACAACTTCAACATGTACAGCTTTCTCTTCAATATCAATAAACAGGAAATCAGAGAGCTCTACCACGACTTTGACATCACAGGGGACCGTGTAAGTGCAACTCCCTCCAGTGTTGCCGGCATTTGTTATCCAAAGGCAAAGGACAATGTCCTATCCTTCCAATCTAGATGGGCAAGGGGGAAGCTGGGAAGAACTTTCTCCAGCTCATCCTGGCCCTGGGATCAGTAAAAACCAGAGAGATTTATAGGCATGTGGAAGGGAGTGAGGACTAAATAACAAAGTGCTACATCATATAACATGTTTAGAGAAGGAAATTTCATTTAGAAGTTAAAAGAAGGAAATAAATCTGGCAAGCGGTAGTATTGGAGAAAGGGTTTAGAGATTTGTATTCGGTAGTGGAAATGCATGAGCAACAATTCTAAGAGACAACAGTGGCAGTGCAGACAGCAAATTCTGCCTCTTTAAGGAAGTAAAGTAAGTGAGGGTACCAAGAACCAAGTTAGTGGGGAAAGACAGATCCCACTTTGAAGGAGCTGATATGCAAGCCTGAAGTATGTGAACTTAACATAGTAAAGAAAGTGATACATGGCTCCATTAGAGTCTACAATGCACTATCTGTTCCTAGCTCCTAGCCTACCAACATACTATAATTACATCTTAATTACTAAGCCTCTTTAAGTTTCCAAGTTTTTAAATGAGGAATGATTACAATCCTGCTGTTATCTGAAACAAAGTACCAACTCCTTCTAAAATAATTTTTCTTTTCCCCCTTCTTCCCAACAAAAGCGCCTTAATTACAAGGAATTTAAGCTGTTTACTATCTTCTCCATGGACAAATACCAGAAAAGGCAAAAAGCAGAAGGGAAAAATAAAAAAAGTCTGTTCAGACAGAAACTATCACAAATTAATGCAAGTTTTCTTGGATTAACTGTATCTCAAAGTACAATAAAGTAATTACAACTTAATGTATAAAAATAAAGTTGAGCATCAAAGTGGACATCTTTTCATTGACCTTCATCTGCATAATATTCATAACTGGTTCTTAATTTTAATAACCCCTGGCCTCACATGAGTCACAATAATGGGATGTGAAGTAACCACTTTATCTTTGTCAACATGTTCCAATTCTGCTGCTCTCAGATCAGCCAATTCAGTAGGTCATGCATCAAGTAATTACCAATATATACTGTAGTTACACAGTAGAAAGCAGGCAGTGCTTTCTCTTTTCCAGAGGCACCTGATACTTTCAGAATCCTTTGTTCTCCCTATTCATAGGTTAAAATCGCCCAGACACAAACACTGCAAACTGGCAAATGGTGACATACCTGGGACCATATGGGAAACTGACTTCCTAGAACCTGAATTGCTGATGTGTTAGGTGCTTAAGTAACTGTATCAAATTAAGTTGGGTAAAATGATTGTGATGTGCCTTTACTTTATTTATGATGTAATGTCTTGATAATTTTAAAATGTTTTTTTGCATGGGACTTGTGAGCCCTCCCTACCTAACCTCATGATGTTAATGATGAGAGCTAACATTTGGTCAGTGCACGCTCTGGGTTCAGATGCATGCCTATATTTATCCCCATACCACCCTGTGAATAAGGGTTCTCAATTTGTAGATGAGGAAATTGAGAACCTATCCAGCAGGAGGACCAAGATTCAAATTCAAGGCCTATCATCAGGTGCCTGTGGTTGAAACAAGTGATCTGAGTAACTCACATTAGTTTTAGCAAATTCCAAATCATCTGCTAGTTTTCCACTGGTTCAGACATTCCTTCTGCTAATGCTAATTAATGCTAATTACCACATAGTCTTCTCCCATAAGTCTTTGAGAACAAATTTGGCAATTAATGAAACACGGCTCACTGATAATAAACCAAAAATTTCTTAAAGATACATTATGCAATAAAACTGACCATAGGGCATTCCTTGAGTTCCAGAGTACCTTTCAATCATCAACAATCAGTCAACGTGCAGCAGACGGCTTATCTAAGTTGTCACGCATAAATTAAATGCTATAATAACAGAGATCATGTTCATTAGTATGAGTACTCTATATTTACTCTAATAGATGTCACATCTTGCTCGCATACTTGGGAGAATGAGTACTGTGTTTTGCAGTCCAAACTTTCTTTCCCATACGCAATGGTACTATAAACTGGATTTAGCCAAAACAGAAAATAAACAAAAAGCCCCATGTCACTTGACCACTGACACCCACATGGGGATAATGTAATCTACCTCAAGGAATTGTGCAGACCACAGAGATGTAAGGCCTCTCTTACATCTCAGTTCTGGTAACCTGATTTGTTGAAGATGCAGTTACTCCTCTCCTGCCCCCCAAGGAGAATACCCTCTAGGGCAAGCAGGAAGGGTACTACTATACCTACACAGGGAGGCACAGACACTAGTACTAGCTAGCTGGAACACAGCAGCTGGAGATTAGCCACCCTTTCTAAAGCCCTCACCACTTCATTTATCTTGAGACGGGCTTCTGCCTCTTTTCTGCATGGTTAATTTTTGGCAGTGACAGTTTTAGGATCTAGGCATGGCTCTGGATAGAAAGCTACAGAAGTCTTGTTCGCTTTTCCAGTGGGAATTCTCCTGACATATACAAATGGCTTCATGCCCCTCCCCCATACAAACCGCAAAGCAGTGAATAATACATCACGCATTTTATTGTTTCAGAATGGGGGTAGGGAGGAGAGGAGAGCTACCCAAAGATTGTAGGTAAAGTATTATTAATTTTGGTTAAATAATTTTTATTCTAACTTATTCAATACATTTAATTATTCAAATGAAATTTTGAAGTTCCGGAATGAGCAGGTGATAGCTTCCCCTCCTCCAAGAAATCATCAGCGTCACTATAAAAGAAAGGTACCATGAACTAAAGTAATTAAAAAGACATTTTCTTTACAGTATCTTCATAAATCGGGTGGTTCTAAGATGGATAATTAGGAAACTGAGCATTTAACTTTGATGGACACAAACTGAAAATCAGTATAAAAACTAAAATTCAGTGCCTTCCTAGTGACACAAGGGGTCAAGTCGCTTGCTATGAAGCTATCCAAAGCAACTGGAGGAGTTCAATCCCCTGCCAAGGAGCTACCCACATGGCACAGCAGATCTCTCTCTTCCCCACTGCTCTCCTCCATCTGCCTGTTCTGCTCCCCTGTTCTGTCTCTGGTCAGTGCTCTCACCCACCACTCCCTTCTGGCTTGTACTCCACCTCTTATATGCATAAATAAACAAATCTTAAAAAAAAAACTATAATTCAATGGCACCAGTAAAGTGATATTCTCTTAGGATGAGCATTACACCAAAAGAAATAATCTAACAGTGTCTACTTTAAGATTTTCTTCCTCAATTATATTATGTGACAAAATTTTTTAAGTCTATTTGTTGTTAAGCACGTAGATGCTTCAATTAAGTTTCATCATTTCCAATGAGTTAATACACTATTTTTTGAAGGTCAGACCAAGCACACTTCATTCTTTTTGGATGGTAGTAACACTCTGTATTTTTATTATGTCATAGTTAGGTCAGAATTCCTAGGCTAACAATGCAAATATCCCTGGGCCTAAGGAATGGGTAGAATGGAGCAGCACCTGGAGGAGGAGGTGAATGAAATGACAGGTTTGTCGAAGAGATGACTACTGTTTTAACCCAAGACCACAGCACAGGTTTCTCGATAGTGTGCATCAGCTAGAAAGAAGAAAGGACTTGAAAGGGAGCAAATTTATAAAGGTGAAATCACCTTTCCACTAGCTCTCTGGTATTATCATCAAGGCTCCTGCCAAAGGCAGACACTAAAGGTCAAAGCAACTGTGCTGACACCTACTGAGATGGCAACTAGTTACCCACAGGAGCAGCCCCCACAGAGGCCATCACAGGAGGCTAGCAGAGCAGGGGAGCTGTGCTCCTTGTTTTGTTGTTTCTCTTTTCCATAAATAGGAGAATTGAAGCATCACATAGCATCTGAAAGTTGGGGGAACCCAAAGTATATCTGCTAATTTGTCTAACTAAATAGTAAAGACCATTATAAAAGAATAGCCTCAAAACTGTGGCCAGTGTGATTTTTTTTTCCCGTAACAATGGAAAGAGAGGAAAATAATTCATTAAGTAGTGTCAGAAGTGAGGTAGCTATCTATAAAAAAATAAATCTCAGCTGCTACCCTATTCCTGTACCAAGATAAACTTTAGATAATTAAACCATAAAAGATAAAGACTAAGCACATATGGAAAACATGTTTAGAAGCTAAGACACAGAAGTCATAAAACACAAGACCAGTAGATCTGAACTGGCAAAACTTAAAATCTCTATATGGCAAATCAATAAAAAGAAATGATAACATGATAGAAGAAAACTTGTTTCCTTAACAGAGTATATACAAATTAAGAGGCTAAAGACCAAAAAGCAGTAAGAACACTGGTAAACAGACAATTCATTGGCGGGGGGGAGGGGGGGCGGGGGAGAGGAAGAGAATGGCCATAAAATACATAGAAAACTGCTAAACTTCACCCAAAGGAAAAACACAAAACACAAATTGTCAAAGATCAAAGGCTGGTCTGGTCATGGAGACATAAAAGCAGTTATACTGCTACAGCGCAAGTGTAAATTGGTGAACTCTATCTGGAGGGCAATCCAGCATCTACTCTCTCAATTACAAACTCTTTGATCTGGCAACTCCACTGCTCAGGCTTGTGTTCTACAGACTTACACAGACTTACTTACTTACAGAGGCACATAACAATAGAAAAGGACACTTCATGGCAGCCTGGTTTACAGTGGCAAAGAGTTAGAAACAACCAAAATGACTGGAATGAAGTTTGAAATAATGGTAGAACTCCCAGACAACGGGTATTATTGTAGTTAGAAAGTGAATGAAGCGTGTCAAGCTCTCCTTTCATGGAACCTTCAGGATTCACGATTTTAGAGAAAAATCAAAGGTACTAAATAGTGTATGTGTTTATGGAAAAAACAGGAAAGGGTGGGCACACAAACTCTTCCACTAGAACAGTGGTTCTTAAGACCCAGAAGTCTAGAGAGCTGCAGTAGCAGCAGCAACTACACCTGAAAGTTTTTGGAAATGCAAATTATAGGGCCTCCCTCAGATCTACTAACCTGGACAATGGAGCAGTATGGCTTTACAATTCTGGTGTATGCGCAAGATCTGAGAACCACTGTGTCAGAGAATATTTAAAGACACCAAGAAACTGGAATAGCTGTTACTTCTGGGGAGAAGAAATAGGATTTGATGTTTGAATTTTTTCTCTTTGATATGTTTGGATTCCCCCCCCCCACAGATATATATATCACCTATTTTTTGTTTGTTGTTTTTTAAAAACATTTTTATCACCTATTTTTAATAAAAATTGAACAGAATCTTCCACTTTGATTCAAAATGGATTAAGAAATGAGTTCAGTGTTTCTTAAAAACCAATTATGAGTTTTGCTTTTCAGCTTGATTCTTACACACACACACACACACACACACACACACACACCTATTTTAGAGCAATATTTCCATGTAGAAGATAAAACATACCTGTAAATGATCAATTATGGGTTAGCACAGCTGATTCTAAGTTTGGTGACAAAGAATATGTTATTTATTGAGCTGAGGCTTAAAAGGAAAACCTTTTTAGAGGAGTTATTAGAATGAGGCAGATTACCCTTATGTAGAGAATGACAATGAAAAACCCAGAATAAAGGCAAGGACAATGAGAAAATTGAACATTTGTTTTTTTTTTTTTTTTAAAAAAAGCACAAAAACCCTACATACTAAAATTGTACACATCAAGTATTGGTCCAATCTTATATCAATCTATTTACAGTTAAACAGCACCATGGTATTCTCACCTAGGTTAGTTAAACATGCCCAGAAAAGTGTTATTCAATGTATGTTCCTTTAAAATAAACTCGAGAGCTCAAATCCTCAACAAAAAGGACTTTCAAATTTAAAGACTTGAAAACTTTTTCTTCCAGTTGACAAACTACAAGAGATGTTGCTATTCAATGTGGCACACAAATTAATGATGTTTTTTGGTAATGGGCATTGCACTGAAATACCCTCATACCTCTACCTCCAAATACAAAAATACTCCTTTGGAATTAATGTTGCTATCTTCTTTTGTATTTAGATTCAATTACCAGGAAACCCAAATTAAATGTAGCCACAGTCTTTAAAGTGATTGCATCAAAAACGGAAGTAGTTAAAGCTCTCAGACACACGCTTAAGTTACAATTGTAGACATTATATCTAATCAAACTATAAGATTTAATACCATTACATTTAAACTAATTAGCGCTTTCAGTTTGCTGTTAAAATTAATAATGGCGCTTCACATCCAAATAGGTGTGGAGGTTTATTTCCCAACTGAGAACAGCCTAAATGCCTTCTTTCCTTTACTTGCCCGTATCAGGGACTCTTGGGGATATTATGATCATGTTAAGAAGCCTGCTTCTTGCTATGGAACCAACATTTAAAAGGCTCCAAGTTCTGTAACATCCTTGGCAGTGTTATTCAAATCATTGTGCACAAGAACCAGGCTACTTATTGGACTTTTCAGAGCCCAATTTAAAGAGGGTTCTTAATTTGCCTCTTTGCTAGGAAAGAGGAGGGGAAAACTGACCACCAACCCAACTAGAGGTTAACCATTAACTAGAAAGTACTGAAGTACAAAGTGATGTTTCAATATTTGGTCTCAGGGCTGCTGCTGAAGTGATGTCAGTACACTTCTTACACTAGTAAATTAAGAGACTGATAATAGGCCTCATTCTCCCTGGCCCAGGTTGAATGGGTTTTCCTTAGACCCTTCCTGCAAACTGGAGGAAAAGAGAGAACTACTTCATTACCTTATAGTGGGAACAGCTGTACCTGATTCCTTGCATTCATTGGCCCAGGATCCGTGCATGTAGGGGTACAGTTAGCTATGAAAAGTTCCAAGCAGAGTAGGTAGATCAATGAAGATATCACGTAGTAATGACCCTTCTAAGCCTGGAAATGAAGACATCTTCATTACATAAACATTTCAAAATACCTATGCAGCAAGAAGACAAAGGGAGTTTCAACTAAAAATCGTATCTGGTCATAAAGACTGAATTATTGCCTCGTGTTCCAGAAGGGTCCCTGCCACCAACGTGCAACAAATTTTAGTGTGAGTGTAAATAAGAAGCTCAGTCTATGGGAATGGGAAAAGCAATACTGACACACAATTTGCTGCTCTCTACTCCTTTATGGCTAAATAGTAATTGAGCAAAGAAAGACCAGATTAAAAATGAACCTCAAATACTGCTCTTTTCAGTTTCCATTTTTAAAAGCTCAATTTTATGACTTATAATTTTTGAGAATTATAGTCAATTTATTTTTTTAATTCTGTATTCAAAAGGTGCTTGGTGCTGTTCTTCATGGATGCAACGTTCTATTTACAGTCCAAATCATCTAAATACCGCCATCACACAGTTGTTGGGTGTTTTAACATAAATGGTCATCTATTTCTTAACTGCCTCTCAAATTAGAAATTGTAATTACATGAGTCTCAAAGGCTGGCTCTTTGTGTTTTATTAATTATTTTTGTTGGTCTCCATCACAGATGGAATTTTTCACTAGTAATTCCTCAGAACTAAATCCATTCACAGGGAATTCAGAGCAGTGAAAGTAAATTTCACGCCATAGAGTAGGAAACGATGAAAGCAACAATATAAAGGAGTAGGAATGATCTGGGGACCAGCCAACAGAATCAGTTCAGTTCTCAACTGGTGTTGGGTTTTGCAAAGGTTGGCTGATGATAACCTGCACAACATAGTCTTTTGGGATCTTCAGCTCTTCCAACTTCATTTTGTCAGTGAGTGGTCTGCCAGAAAAGAACCATCGCTGACTGCTTGGCTCTACCCCTTCTGTGGCGTGCAACCTCCTCTTCATGTGATACACTGTGTCTGTGCTTCGAACCACAAGTTTGAGGTCTTTGCCTGTGGAAAGGCGCAAACGGAGCTGACATTCATATCCAGAATTAGGTGGTGGCTCAGGAATATCCAGAGTCTCTATGTCACTCTTTTCCTCTATCATGTTGATTGGTGGTGCCAAGCAATAGACTGGAAGTTGGTACCTGTTTCCCAATTCATCATAGCACTCAGTCAGTGCACCTTAAGAAAGAGAAGATATGAAAAAGTTCAATCTAAAGGAAATGCATTTTTGTTTACATCATGCAAAATGCTTATGTCTCTCTTGCTGGCTTGTCATTGCAGGAAAAAAATATATAAAATAACACGAGTCACTCCCTGTAAATCAGCAATGATGACTATCAAAGCCCAAACCAATTGAGTGTTTATCTGATTTTATATTAACCATGATTCTGCCTCTTCACCCTTCTTCTTCTAAGTCATTTCATACCAAATTCACACGTATATTAAAATGCAGAGGCAAAAGCACACAAAATTCAATTTACTAATATTATTCATGCTTACACCAAATAAGGGGAGATTTAAACTGAATGGGGTATCTTTTTTTTTTAAAAAAATAATTAATAGTTTATTTTTAAATCATTTTGTGCCTTTTCCCATCTCAATTGTAATCCCCTTAGGTTTCCCATCACCAAATCACCTGTGTGCCATCACCATAATCCAGTGCACTTCCTCCCCCCACCATTTTTGATACCATTCCCCACTCCACCCCCATAAAATGTCTCTGGTATATATTTGTTCATTATTATTTTCTCGCCTTGTCCTTTATACTCCTGCTATGACTGAAACCACCCAGTATTTTTCCTTTCCTTTCTGGCTTGCTTCACTAAGCATGATCCCTTCCATGTTGCAGCAAAAGGTGTTTATTTTTTTTGGTTGCTGAGTAATATTCCATTGTGTATATGTACTACAACTTTTTAATCTGAATGGGGTATCTTTTTAAGAAATGAATCTGCTGGGCCCACCCTGATGGTGCGACGGATTAAAGCACAGCACTATGAAATTAGTGGCAGCCATTGCAGCACAAGTTCAATCCCCAGCCAGGGCAGTGACCCATATGGTGCAGCAGACCTCTCCTGCCTCATCCACTGCTCCCCTCAGCAGTGTTTTTCAGGAGATCTCCCTGTTCTGCTCCCCACTATCTCTATGGTGAATCCTCTCACTCCCCACACCTATGACCTGTACCCCAGTACTTGTATGCATTAAAAAAAGAAATGAACTTGCTACCTTGAAAAGGACAGGGAGGGACATAATGCCCACTTTACCCCAAAGCAGTATTTCTAGAGCAGTTTACTTCAGTGCATACAGTTGATATGTGTGCACAGAACTTTTTTTTTTTGTAAAGACTTATTTATACAGAACTGGGGTACAGGCCAGAGGTGCAGAGGGGGCGAGGGGATTCACCAGAGCTGGAGTGGGGAGCAGAACAGGGAGATCGAGGAAGTACACTGCTGAGGAGAGCAGCAGGGCCAGTCAAGAGAAGTCTGCTGTGCCATGTGATCACCTCCGGGGCTAGGGATCAAACCTGCACTTAAGCAGCTGTGGCTAGCTTGCAGTGCTGCCCTTTAACCCACTGCGCCACCAGGGAGGGCTCATGACCAGGGAGGTCCCATGACCAGAAGTTCTTAATCTAGTGACAAATTAAAGTTCTTAATTCACCATAAACTAAAGACAGTAAGCTTATCAGCTACTTCTGGCTCCTAGCTTATATATGAATATGAGCACAATTACCTTAGAAATGACTGAAATATTTCATTTATCCCCAATTAGCCAATTTGCTACAAAGAAACCATGGGCTAAAGAACAAAAGGAGCACAAAATTTATAAGCAACTAGCTCAGGAGAGAAAAAAAAAAGCACTTGTTCAGAAAATGGTTTAGAAAGATAGTTTAAGAAAAAGTATTAATGTCAAAAACCTTTAAAATATAAACTCATTAAAATTACTAGACTTTCCTTGGGGTAATATGAAAACATATTTAATGAGTACTTTATGGCAAGGTTACTCTGAATGAGTCCTTTGCTCAAACTGGAAGATTAATGACAGCTAATTATCAATTTGGATGAAAAACAAAACACATACCATATTCAAAACACAGACAAGCTTATGAATATGGGGAGTGGGATATTCAGAAATGGTTGTCAATGAACAAATGAGTTAACAAACTGATCTTTGTGGTCACTATTAATAGGATGAAACAAAAAAAACATCCAAGGTAAGCCTGTAATAGTTACCTACCCACCATGGAATGGCCGGGGTCTGCCTTCCAAGATGGGCAGGCTAAGAGCTCAGTCACCAAAGCAGAGCACACATGACCCGAAGGTACTGTTTAGCCTCTGCTGTCCACTAGTTAATTTGAACATAGCTGTGACACTGTAGAATGGATGTACTGCAAGCATGGCTGTACTCACCAGCAGCAGGTCTCCACATTAGTGACCACAACATTGAAGTACCAACATTATTTATAAACAGGTGCAGAGTGCTGTGCAAACTTCACTATATACTTTGTATTCCTGAGCAAAGAAACCTGCCAGTGTCTTTTAGGTGCGTTGGTCAACAGGAGAACCAGGTAAAATAAAGTGCCAAGTTCACTACAGACTCATCACTTCGTTGAGGAAAACATCCCCTGGAACTCTTACACACAGTTAGTAGGAATGTAAATTAGTGTAGCCATATCAGCATGTTAATTTGATCTATTTATGTTTTGTAATAGAATTGCTGTTGTAGTACTATTTAGCATCTCTAGCAGGGTCAGTTTAAAGGTCAGTATTATCATGGCACAGGGGTTAAAGACAGTGCTATCAAGCTATCAGCTATCAGCAGTCACTGCAGAACCAGTTCAATCACCCACCAGGGAGCTAACCGAAAGCAGAAATTCCATAGAATTTTTTTTCCGTATGATTCAGTTATCTCATGAGTATATAGTTTTAAAAAACCATTGAATATGAAGAGAGATATACATCCCCATGTTTACTGCAACACTATTTACAATAACAAGAACTGGAAACAACCTAAGTGACCCCTAATAGAAGACTGGATAAAGAAAATGGTCTATATAGACAATGGAACACAATCTAGTTATTTAAAAAGACTAAATCCTGCCATTTGCAACAACATGGATGGACCTAGAATGTATTTATGCTTAGTGAAACAAACTAGATGGGTAAGACAAAGCATATGATTCATTTGTAAATGGTATAACAGAAAACAAACATAGATGAGCTAAATAAAACAAAACTAAACTTTCAGATTATAAAACCAATTAGTGGTTACAAAACTGGGTGGGGAGGTTAAGGAGTGGGGAGGGGTTGGGTAAATTGAGAGAAAATAGACAACTATATGAAAAAGAATGGAACTTTTAGTGGTGACCTTAATTGAGTGTATACACAGATGAACTTAATGTAGTGTAAACACAGGTAAATTTTTAATGATGCACACATATAAACATATAGTGTTGCAGTACAATGTTATTCATCTAAATGAAAACATTTTCAGATACATAGCCCACTGATGGATGTGGAAGAGAGGGAAGATAGTGTAAATAGGTATGTAAGCATAATTGTTCTACGAGAAAAACCTTTTCTTACAGAGACACTATTTCAAATCATTACCTCTGGAATCAGGAAGCAAGATGTCCATTAATTAGCTAATATTAATAAATGTTTAACCTTGAGCAACATTCTTAACCTGAAATACCCTTATACTTTGCTCAATTAGCAAAATAAAGCACGATAAAACTGACCTTTAAAGTAGTTTCCAAGTTTACATATATTGTAAACACAACAAATAAAATAGCCAGGCTATGAACCTGCAATTAGTGAATAGGCCATAGACCTAATGCCCAGTATAATGAAATATAGACAATGATATTGTACTCAATTACATACCCTGCTAGAGATGCTAAATAGTACTACAACAGCAATTCTATTACAAAACATAAATAGATCAAATTAACATGCTGATATGGCAAATATATTCAATAAAAAGAAAGCAACAAAACTGCACATTAAAGCAGTCAAGCATTTATTCAGTCAAAAATGGGGCCTCCCTGATGGCACAGGGGTTAAAGACAGTGCTATCAAGCTATCAGCTATCAGCAGTCACTGCAGAACCAGTTCAATCACCCACCAGGGAGCTAACTGACATGATGTAGCAGCCCTCTCCTGTCTCACCAGTTGCTCCCCTTGGCAGTGTATTTCAGTCAATCTGACCATTCTGTTCCCCACTCTCATGAATCTTCTCACCCCCTTGTCCCATACCTCTGGACTGTACCCCAGATCTTGTATGCATAAATAAATCTTAAAAAAAAGAATGATGCCTAGGCCTCCTTGGTGGTGCAAGGGGTTAAGTCTCAGCACTATCAAGCTATGAGCAGCCACTGTGGGTTCAATCCCAGCCAGGTTACTAATCCACATGGTGCAGCAAACCTCTCCTGTCCTGCCCACTGCTCCTCTCAGCAGTGTATTACTATAAATATGCCTGTTCTGTTCTGCTCTCCACTCTGTCTCTGGTGAATCTCTCGCCCCCTGCACCCTTCTTGTATCCATAAATAAGTTTTTTAAATCTTTAAAAGAAAAATGTCTTGACTGAAGGAAGTCTACACTTTCAGCTTCTCTAGGAACTAGGAATAGAACTGCCACTGTAGCCTCTTGTATGGAGTTAAAGAAGTAGTACACACCAATCTCATAGGCATTTGGGTTCTTCCTACATGTGAACATTCATTCCTCCATCAGAACGGAAATCTGAGCCTCTTCTTCCTTTCAGGCTACAAAGTCAGGGGTTCAGTTTTCAGATCTCAAATGATCTGAATAAAATTTCCATGGAATGATACAGCTAAATGGTTTATCTTCTTATTCTAGCCCACACAGTGCTCATATCTATGATGCTAGAAACAAGCTAGCCAGACTCTACTGCCAGAAGCTCCCTTATTTTATTTTTAGGAAAGGTCACTTGCATTTGACACAATTTTCTGGTTTATTTACTCAATTCCTCACTTCTGCCTGTGAAACTATAACCTCAGTTATAAATATACTCTAATTTTAGATTAAACTAAAAACAAAATGGGGGGGGAGTCTAGATCATAAAGTTAAATGTGGTTTAATTACATTTTTAGATTGTAGTTTCATGGGTTACTCTTTTCCCCAAATTAAATATATTGGATCATGAAGTAACAATAAAAAACATTT